CCCACCCCTCTTCATAGAATCTTTAGGAAAGATTAAAATGGGAAAGGCACCATAAGAAAGACACTGAGGGAGAAATTTAATTTATAATGAGGGGGGGGTTGAGAGCAGGGCTATTTAATTTTTTACTTTTTTAAAAACCCTGTCAAGAAAGGTCCAAGTTAAACAAAGGAGAAATTACAGAATGAATCTGGATCTCAGCCTTGAAGAATAAGGTTTCAGTCTAATTGAGATCATACGCCGCATGTGCAGTTTTGGCACATAAGTCATATTAATCAGAAACTCTTTAATCGTGGATAATTTCTGCTGTGTGCGCCAGATTGGGCATTCTCTTGCTAGCCAGCTTTTGAGTCTGTTTAAGAATGCACCTTTGACTTCACAAACACCCGCTTACAAAATTGGGGTCGACTTCCTTCAAGGAAGACAAGCTGGGCTGGCTTTGCAGAAACTTTCTCTAATGATTAAATTGCATCTCAGATGGAAATCTGAAAACTACAGATTCCATTGCAGTGACTCTTTCCCATGATTGCAACTGCTTTGAGCTGGGAGCACACCAGAGATGGAGCGATGGGGAAGATGATCCTGCTGCTGTTGCTGGGTCGGTTTTCCAATGAGCGAACATTGTTCAAACTAATGTTGCTGCATTTCTGCAAAAAAGGAATTTGTGTCTACTGGAGACACAACTCAGCTATAGGAACAGTTTGCATCAGCCTAAATCTCTTTCAGATTTTATGAAATACTACATACTCAAATGGCCTCAGTTAGATGCTGGGATTTTTATTCTTGCTTTTTTAATTTGTTTTATTCAGGAGTAAGATAAATCTAATCACGCTCAGTCACAAATATCTGACATTTCTTTTGCCCTGGTGAATATACATGTTAATGGATAAATAATAGGAAAGTATTTCACAACAAATGATAAGGTTTGGAGAAGGGCTTTAAAATATTACCCATTGCAGCAGATCATTTTCTGAACATACCTATCGATTGAGGTAAACCTTTTTTTCAAACACCTTCAATACAAAAATAAATCAGTTCCAACACGTGAAGCCTTTTTAATGGTAGCTCCAGGATTAATTAAAACCTGTCAAAAATATGTTTAATATACGTTTCCCACTTATTTGGGAAATTTGAAGATTTTAAGTTGGAATTTAATAGTTGAGAATGACATTATTTTATTGAATTATGTCATTTCAGTAAACTAAATGTCACTATTTTTAATCTGTTAACAAACATATCATATGAAATATGTATTAATCTGGTCAGAAAGACATCATTTTAATGATTATTTAGGTCAATAGATGTGATCTTTTACTGTCATCCAATCAAAAATCAAATTCAACCCAAGTCACAATTACGTTGAAATAGGCCCAACTGAATTCAGTGGAGTTAATTTTGTATTGATCTATGTAGAATTGCCTGGTTTGTTAATTAATCAAGTAAATGGATTAAATCAGCTTTGTTCTGCATATTTATGCAACATTTGGGAGAAAAATCCTATACTAAAAACGGTATATATATATATATGTGTGAGTGTGCGTGTGTGTGTGTGTGTGTGTGTGTACAGATATATATATATATATATATATATATATATATATATATGTGTGTGTGTGTGTGTGTGTGTGTGTGTGTGTGTGTGTGTGTGTGCAAAAAATTAAAATCTCGGGTGTTTTTCCGCATCATGTTAAATAAGTTAGTTAAAATGTTTAAAATTCTGGTTAAATTCCTAGCTTAAAATCTTGCAAAAATCCTTACAGAGCACTCTGCAAGGTCCTTTAAAACCTTAGCTAAAATCCTACCAGTACCTTAAAAGTTTTTCTTTCTAGCAACGTTTCGACAGGCTCACAACCCTGTCATCTTCAGGCTCTTGGTATATACTTATACCTTAGTTGTTAAAGGGATTTTAGTTCATCAGTTAGTCATTCAGAATTAATAAATGAGTGAAAGCTTGCCATAGCAATCAATGCATTATTCCATTATCGAAACCAGCATTTCCGACTAACTGGAAGTCAGTTTAATTCCATTTTCATGTTGAGAGAAAAGAGTAATGTAGCACATGCACAAATGCTTGCTATGTAATGGAATCCAAGACATGGCACATTTTAATATTGCAACTCGCTACTTTTGAATGAGAGTTTTCTCTTTATTTAAAAAGGAAACAGATGAGAAAAAAAGCCATTCTTAAGGCTATATGTAATAAACAATACCTCAGCTCTTTTGGTTTATGAATGAGTTTCCTGGGACAGGAGAAAATTCAAAATAAACTAATAAAAGCACACAGTAACTATTTTTTTTACCTGCTTTATGAAAGCCTCAATGAAAATATAACAGAGACCTATTGCTGGTGGTATTTACACAGATTCGAAGAATTCTTGCATAAAATGTCTCAAATATCGGTCCTAAGAGTTTTTTGTGCTAAAGATGAGATTAGTATTATAGTCGTTTGTTTACTGAAATAGATGCAAAATAAGACTATTCCAAAATTGCTGTACAATGCTAGGTTACTATGTTAAAAAACACATTTAGAACAGTATGCTACTTTAAAAAAATGAAGAAGACTTTTTATGTAAGCAGACCATGTCCATAAAATATTATGCACCCTGCCATAAGTGCAATAATTCATTCAAGTGGCTCAGGTAAAATTTTTAGTGCTGCAAATAGCATTTCTGATGTCCAGGTCTCTCCAGTTCCTTGTTGCACACTTCAGTTCGCTCTTTCCACATCCCTTGTTGTTCTTAATTACCAATCCAAAACCAAAGATTCCCAGTTTAATCTTTATGCCCACTGCCTCCTTTTATTTTTATTTGGTGAAGTCAATCTCTCTCAATTTAGATTGCTTATTGTAAGACAGTTTCTCAACTCTACGATACTCAACTTTTGAGTTTAAGGCGTTAATAACCAAAAAAAAAAATTTTTTTTTAAAAAAAGGAGCGTTCTCAAAAACACTACAGTAAAAGGCTTGTAAAAGCAGAATTAGCCAATTGTGAATGGATATATATGATGGGCATTCATGCAAACACCCACCCACACACGCACACACACATGCATATGTATCTGTTTAATTATAGATTTAAAATATATCTTGCTTTATCTTTATCTTGCTTAATTCACAACACCATTTTAATTCAAATTTAACTTTATACCAAAATATTTTCATTAATAAAAGGAAGGGAGATTTGACCTACCTATCTACCTGGCAGAATTCTAGAATTAAGGCTTTGTTTTATTATTATTATCATGTTCCCCCTTTTAACTATCCTTTTCAAACTGTAGTGGAATAATTAAAGGATAAGAATATTGGGCTCCAGATTGAGACTGGAGTATTTCACCAGATGCATGCTACTTGCAACTTTACAGAAAAGCAAAAACAAAACAAAACAAAAAACCCACCCAGTGACTTTATAGCTGCAAATATATCTTCGTAATTAGCAATGGACAAATTAGTTCTAAGTCAACTTCCCATTAATTCATTCTTAAGTCTGTTTCTTACTCATTATTTATTCTTTTAAGTATTATTGCAAAGTGTTGGTTTTTCTACTCACAAGGTGCTAGCAGACAAAAAGTCAGCAAAGCAGAAGACAATGACTAATTTAACTTCCAAGGTCTGGTTTGTGAAAAAGTGACAACACTCCTGAAGACAGAAAGAGTGGGTGCTAAGCATAATTCTGAAACATGTTTGCACTTCGGCTTTAGGAGGGAGGCAGAAGAGACATTCAACCAATGAAGCCTTTCTTTCATGGGCTTTTTTTAATTTAAAAAAGTGGCTGTTAGCACCTCATGAATAGAAAAACCAAAACTTCACTAACTTGATGTCATTTTCACACAGTTTTCCCATACGCTACACGTGAAATCTTTGAAGAACAATCCAATTCAAGGATAAATATTCTAAGCTATATGTTAAATGGAAAGTGCAAATTAGTTTGACTCATTTAAAACAGTGAATAATATTTTCTCTTAGAGTTTCTACTTTAATAATTGAACGGTATTTTCTATACGCTGTTCTTCTTCCCTTCTGCTCTTCAACTTCTCTGCTCTGCCGATTCTGCCTTAGCTTTCCACCGCCAAACACAAACATGCTAAAAGAGTTAGAATATTACATCTAAGAACTTTGGGTATGACAAATTCATTAATCTAGAATGACATGCTAACAGTTGGTTGTCATAATCATTAATGAAGATAAAGAATTATGAACTGTCATAAACAGACACGCAGAAATATGTTCTTTATCAATATCCACCCTTTCACTGGTTTAAACTGGTGGATAGCTACTAATTTATCTAACTTGAATAATCCATCAAGAGATCAAGGAATAATTTGCAAATAGTTTTGCAATAGTTTTAATATCTAAGGATGTTAGCAAATGTTCCTATTGATGTACATGAAATGTGTGTATATATAAAATGCATGTGTTTACTTGAGCAAGTACTTCAAATCATACTGTTTTCTGCAAAGAAATATTAATAGAATTTTAAAACCGCACAGGAATATGATTTTTGAAAACAGAAAAAAAAAATCCTAGGCGCTAAAATGGCAAACATTTTGCATTTTATCACTACTAACATATCTGTTAAATCCCAGGGACGCAAATGTCATCAGTTCAAAGGCCATACCATTCTTTGCAAGGCATATAAAAGATTCACTTCAAAATATGAAAAAAAAACCCAGAGACCTGGCAATATTGGTTTTAAGGAATATAATTCAGTAAAGATCCTACTTTCTTCAACTCTTGCCAAACCCTGAAATTCTGTAATAGTTTGCAACTCCCAGTTCACCCATTAACACATCCAGCTCTACAAAATGGGTGAGTAGCCTCTGCAGCCTCTGCAGCCTCTGCAAGGCTTAAAGCAAGCACACAATTTTTCCCTTAGCCATTCCTATCTGCGTCTCAAATGCAAGAAAGACCCAGCTGTCCTTGAGGAGCTCTGTGAAGCTACAAAAGTTTAACAGACTGTGATGACAAAGGACAAAATAGATATTTACATGCCCAGAAATGTACATACCTGATTACAGTTTACTTCCAAAGCAATGTTTTTAATATTTGAAATCTCTAGCCAGATGTTTTCTTCCACTTGCTAAGAAGATTGGAGAATCCGAAGAGGATGCCTCTCATGCCAAGCACTCACAATTTTCTAAACTATGATGGAAACAGAATGATATTTAATTCCATGAATCTTCCATGGATTACCAGGAACATGATACTTAAAAAAACATGGGTTTGCCAGATGATGAGAGAGAGTGTTCATATATGATTTTATTTGGGGTATTTGCATAATAAGAGCTGATCCACTTTTAACTCCTGTAAACAGTAGCAGCTAATGAAAATACATACATATAAAATTCTATTATAATGTACTTAGTGTGGTGAGTGGATATTTTAAGTATGATTTTTTTTAAAAAAAGAAGGAGTTCCTTTCTATCCTGTTGAAGAAACACAAACTGTTTTCTTTCGCCTTATTCAGTTCTTCTGGACCTAGACATTAACAGAAACTTTTTCATTGTGACAGTGATTCTCTCTCTGTCTCTTCCTGAATAGCATGAGGTCTTCTTAAAATATTGTGTAACTCAGGTACCAGAAATATATATTTGTTTCCAAGGTAATTGTTATTTGTTTCATTTAAGCCCCCCTTAAAAGTTTTGATTCCTAGCTTTCCGGGCAGCCATAACCGATCGAGCTGAGTCAAAATGAAGTTCAATCCATTTGTGACTTCAGATCGCAACAAGAATCGCAAATGGCACTTCAATGCTCCATCTCACATTTGGAGGAAGATCATGTCTTCACCCCGTCCAAAGAATTGAGGCAGAAGTACAATGTTCACTCTATGCCCATCCGAAAGGATGATGAAGTTCAAGTTGTTCGGGGCCATTATAAAGGACAGCAGATTGGCAAGGTAGTCCAGGTATATAGAAAGAAGTATGTTATTTACATTGAGCATGTACAGCGTGATAAAGCTAATGGCACAACTGTACATGTGGGCATTGACCCTAATAAGGTGGTGATCACAAGATTAAAACTGGACAAGGATCGAAAAAAGATCTTGGAAAGCAAAGCAAAGTCTCACCAGGTTGGAAAAGAGAAAGGAAAATACAAGGAAGAAACAATTGAGAAGATGTAAGAATAAAATGGACTTTTTTGTCAGATCCATTAAAGTTTCAGTAAATTGTAAAAAAAAAAAAAAGTTTTGTTTCCTTGAGAAGAAGGCTACTTTTTTTTAAAAAAAAATCATTTTATTCTCAGGATGCTTAACTGTTTTTTTGGCGATGCCTTTGAGTTTTTTATTAATGGTGTTGGCAGAAGATGCTACAGTTGGCACTGTCTAGTTCTCTTTCCCACTGCGACCTAGGTGGCTTTAAAAGTAAGAATGATAGCAGCTGCACAAAATTAACTACAGTCTTTCAAAATATGGCAGAACTGTATGGGATTTTGTGCTGCTGGTTTGTTGTTTGTTTTTGCCATTGTGACAATTATTTTCGCTGAAGCATTAAGTAATATTGATTAACATGGAACAGTCTCTGATGAAAGGTCAGTTTTTTTACTGAAGTGGTGGTGGTAGGGTGCGGCGACAGGCTGATGAGTTTGTGAGGGTGTTTCTCTCCTGATGCAGAACAGAAGAGCAGTAGATGGAGTGGGTGACAGTGGATAATAGAGGTCGGATGGAGATGTAGAAAGAGCTGAAGGGTTCAAAACATGGAAGAGAAGGAGAAATCAGAGTGGATAGCAAGAAGGAAAAATACATTAGAAGATATGGGGATGAAGGTTCATTTCGAACAGGGATGTCCAACTCTTTTTAACTTCAACTCTCACTTGGGTTGGTTGGGGAATTATGGGATTTGAAGAGCACAAGTCTTAAAGTTGCCAAAGTTGGACACCCCTGATTTAGAATATTTGTCATATGTGAATGAAGCAGGAAGAAGTGGACAGAAGAAGACGAACTTCACCTCCACCCTGCCCCTTAAAGGTAAAGATGAAAAAAAGAATTCCAAGTGTAATTGGGTGTGATTTGTAAGTGGATGGAATGTGATAAGACAACTTGCTCATAGCTAGGTGCACTCTGTTTCCCTTACGGAACAGCAATGACTACATCACACTAAAAGATGCTATCAGGGTTGCCATTAAAAATGGGTAACAGAATAAGAGGGTTGGAAGGAACCTTGGATATCTTCTAGTCCAACCCCTTGCTCAAGCAGGAAACGCCATACCATTTCAGACAAATGGTTGTCCAATGTCTTCTTTAAAATCTTTAGTGTTGGAACACCCACAGCTTCTGGAGGCAAGTCATTCCACTGATTAATTGTTCTAACTGTCAGGAAATTTCTCCTTAGTTCTAGGTTGCTTCTCTTCTTGATTAGTTTCCATCCATTGTTTCTTGTCCTGTCTTCAGGTGTTTTGGAGAATAGGTTGACCCCCTCTTCTTTCTAGTAGCTCCTTAAAAACACTGGAACACTGCTATCATGTCACCCCCAGTCCTTCTTTTCATTAAACTAGACATACCCAATTCCTGCAGCCGTTCTTTGTATGTTTTAGCCTCAGTCCCCTAATCATCTTTGTTGCTCTTCACTGCACTCTCTCTAGAGTCTCAAGATCTTTTTATATCATGGCAACCAAAACTGGATGTAATATTCCAAGTGAGGTCTTACCAAAGTATTACAAAGTGGCATTAATACTTCACATGATCTTAATTCTATCCCTCTGTTAATGCAGCCTAGGACTGCCTTGGCTTTTTTGGCAGCTGCTATCTAACCCACACTTTTTTGTCTGATCAAGTAGTAGATGTCTGAGTTGTATCACTAAGGAGTACTAGGCTAGGATAATGAGAAATCTTGCAGTCCTTCTAATGCTTCAGTAACTATTGTCTGAAAGACCACAGGACCTGGATGTAAGACTTGCTGTCTCACAGTGTATGGTTGAGAAGAGAAGAAAATAGAAGCAGGGAGGTAGTACAGGAGAGACACCCTCAGTTTATGGAGAGTCAGGAAATGGGGGTGAAGAGGACCATCCCCTGGATCAGCTGAGCTCTAGTGGAAGTAGGGCTCAGCAGGTACAGAAGGCATAGATTCCTGTGCATTACTGGGGGTCTTGGATGGTAGAAGTGGCCAACAAAGATAATCTAATTGGAGGGGGAGGGAGGAAAGGATAGAAATGTTAACAGAAAGCTGTTTCTAGAGAAGGAGATATGGAATGTGGAGACATAATGAGAAGTCCTGGGATAGCATTTCAAAGTTGGCCAGTGTTCAGAGCCAGTCCCCGCTTCTAGCCTTAATGCCTCATCCTAAGATACTGGATCACCGGAATGACAAGAGAGAAAAATATTAGAAAAAAATATTTTATCTCATTATTGTGGGTCTGCAATCGTTGGTAAAGTTAAACTGCTTAAAATGATAAATTTAGATTGTTTCCTTGTGCTTTAGACCGGTGTTTTTCAAACTTAACAAATTCAAGATGTGTAAATTTCAACACCCAGAATTCCCTATGCTGGATAGGGAAATTTTAGGAACTGAAGTCCACACATTTTAAAGTTGCCAAGTTTGAAAAATACTGCTTTAGATTATCATGCAGCAGATTCTGTATGGTTACGCATCCAAATTGGCAACTCACCTGGAATATTTAGAGGCTATGACACAACTCTCACACACCCCTCACTCCCCGCTGTTTCAAAGGTGAGTAATGAGACCATCATTCTAGGCTCTATACATGGAAAGAATCCCCTTCAAAATGTAATTTAATGTTTGAAACAATAAGATGGTTCAGGACTTTTCAAACAAGAAGAAAAGCTAATGGTTTAAAATATTATTGCAGGATTTACTGCATACTCCTGGTTAGTAGGCGGTTGACTTCAATGGAAAGAGGAAAAAACAAATCTTTGCAATAGCATAAAAAGACTCTCGCCCTCTAATCAAAATGCAAAAAGGAAAGGCTAATAGCAATGAAGAAGGAACTCTGAGCGGAGAGAACACCCGTGTGTTGCAAGAAAAAGAGCTCTAAAGGGACAATTAAGTCAAAGCCTCAAGTGATCTTGAGCAAGAGACCTGATCCTTGGCCTCTAACAGCAGCTGAGTTTCAGCAATCTGGATTTTTTTTTTTTTTTTTTTTTGCTCCTTCTTTGTAAATCACAAACATGGGGAAAACAGGAGAAGACAGACTTTCGCTTTGTCCCAATAGCTCATCATCAATTGCATTTAGCCCGACTGCCCTGAGAAAGGCGGCAAATCCTCTTTTTCTCCATGAATCTCCCAAATGCCTGTTTTCATAGAGTTCTTTAAAGGAAAAGCCTAAAGCTAGCTTTACTTTATTTTTTTTTTAAGCCAAATGTTGCTTTTGTCAGCTGTGGTCACAGCTGGGAGCAGCCCCGACTAACTCAGAAAGTTTTGCAGGCTAATGTTCAGATGGGAGACTATCAAGAGGTCCCAGGGATATAGACATGAGTGAGAAGTTTGAAAAAAAAAAAAGTTGAAGAAGGCCAACTTTTCAGGAATGCCTGGGGATTATTCTTATTTTCCTCCAGCCTATCTATGTGGCCTGGTGATCAGTTACAATCAATGCTTCTTATTGTGGAAAACTGAGTTTTCGTTATATGTGGATTTTTTTTACATAAAGATCAGATTCAAACTTCGGACAAAAATTCTAAGGCATAGATTTGCCTGTCATTTTTTTCAGAATACTCTAGTTGTTCTTAATTGGCTTGTGTTTTCTCTAGTTCAGGAGGGCATCCTATAGAGCCCTCAAAATAGATGTGGTCAGGCTTCTCTTCAAAAATAACAATTTAGCTTAACTACAATTCTCTACATTGTAAGCCAACTGTGCTAGAAAGCCAAAAAAACATTTATTTCAAAAGCTGGTTGGTTTTTTTTGAAAAACTTCAACCAGATATCATATCACTTATAGAATTCAACCACTTAAAAAGAACAAAGCAGTTTAAAGCACCACAAGTATTGAACCTCCCACACAGATCATGCATGTTATAATCAAATATAAAGGAAATAATTACTTCATCACACACAGCAATTTTCATTCTAATATATGCATTGCTTTGCTTCAGAGATTTGATTTATTTGATTTTGTGTTGACTCTACTGCCTTTTTAAAGGCTGCATTTAAGTGGAACACTATTAATTTTAAATCTTCAGAGCAATTAGACCAAGACGGGCTAAAGTCAGGTTGAAATACACAATTTAACCATGAAGCTCATTTGATACCCCTGCAGTAGCCACCTTCTGTGAGGCTAACCTCTTTTCCGAGGTTATTAGACAAAAAAAAATGGACAATATATTACCAAGAACTTCTTGGATGAAAGGTGGAGTATGAATTAAGCACATACCGTCCCACTAAAATCAATGGTTTCAGCATGCCAAATTGTAGGATGGATGAGGGCCATAATGGTATAACTCATTGTGTTTCCTTCATAATCCTGCTGCAATTTGCATTCCTATATAAAGTCTATTTTGAAAGTATATCCTGTTAAAATTTATGGCTGCAAAATGTTGATACAGTCAAGTTGAGTGTACCATCATTTTAACCCAAACAGAGTGAAAAAGAAGGTTTTGGCCAACCCTCTTCCTGCTCTGCAAGTTACCTACTTGAAAGAAATATTTATTTAATTCACTTACATATTGTAGTAGAGCATTTGCAGGATGGTCTAGTTCCCCTGCTGTATTTTCATCACTAGGAGTTGGATAAAAATAAAACATAGCCGACATTGGCATCCATAGGGGAGGACAAAGGGATGCAAATGATGATCCATGCATCATCATGTCACCATCAGGTAAAAGGTTGGAATTTGTGTCATGATGAATTTTTCACAATGATGGTTTATACCAGGTGTCTAAGATCAGTGTCATCTAAGACATCCATTTGATTCTTCTAGCACACATTAATGAACTTCCATCAATATTAATATTTTAATATTTCATGTACAGTCAGAATTCAAACATCTATAAAACAGCCCTTTATTTGAACAAAGAAGTTCAGTGGAGATCTGCATATCTTGATCTCATGGGAGTAAATTGTAGGGATGATAGAAAAATAAGATTTGCACTCTTTAGTCTTATTTTTTCTAATTTGCTTCTATTATTCTATGTTTAAATACATACAGTACATATTAATGTTCTGTATTATAATCTCTAATTTGAAATGGCTTAATGCCTAATTAACAATAAACAATTGCTATTAACATTTTCAAGTTCTAGGAAATGTCTTTAAGGAGAAGAGAGGAGAGGAGAGGAGATCAAACATGGATAGGAAGAAGGTTTTTCCTCATTTCTCACAATAGCAATAGCACTTAGACTTTTATATCACTTCACAGTGCTTTACAGCCCTCTCTAAGCGATTTACAGAGTCAGCATATTGCCCTCAACAATTGGGTCCTCATTTTGCTGACCTCAGAAGGATGAAAGGTTGAGTGACCCTCGAGCTGGTGAGAATCAAACTGCTGGCAGTCAGCAGAATTAGCCTGCAATACTGCATTCTAACCACTGTGCCTCCATGGCTCTTTGCACCATGGGTCACTCCTGAAGCTGATCAAACCAAAAGAAGCATATCTTCAACCTTCACATTGTTAAACTGTGTAATGCATAAGTGAAAGACATGGTGATGGCTACTTACTTGGATGGGAGAATATAGAAATCCACACAGGAGAGGTCTAACAAGCACTATGAGTTTTGAAGTCTCAATCTTGCCTTCAGATTGGGACAGGATGTTTCTATTTACCAGGTAGCAAGATTTGTGTCCATCTGCTGCTTCCAAGCATCACAGAAGTTCCTGATTGGCCACTGTGAGAAACAAAATTTTGGACTAAGATGTGCCTCGGCCTGATCCAGTAGGACTATTTGTATTGCCTTTATTGTCTTATGTTCTAAAATCAGAACATAACCTGTGCTTACTAGAATGTAAACAGTCCTGAGAGCAAAGGTTGAACAAGATTATGTTGAACAAAGGTTGAGCAAAGGTTGACTATGTTGAGCAAAGGTTGAACACGTTTGAACAAAGGTTGACTATGCAGGACAAATGGGGAGGATGTTAACCACCAGACTGCAAGAACACAAGGAAGCAGTCAGAAGAGGAGACCCGAATTCATTGGTAGCCTCACATTGCAATGAACAAGGACACACATTTAATCCAGGGATAAGTTCTACTTACCTTTACTACCAGTTCGCAATGGGGCCGCACGCATGTTCTTCTGTGCAAGCGCAGAAGCTTCTGCACATGCGCAGAAGCATTTTGATGATGTCGGGGTCCGTGGGCAGAGCCTACGGACGTTTTTAGTACCGGTTCTATAGAACTGGTGCAAACCAGGGGCAACCCACCACTGATTTAATCTCACAGCTACTAAGATCGTTGGTCATGCAGCTACAAAGATAGCCAAGGAAATGATTGAAGCCTGGGAAATGGGCCATTGTCAGTTAACAGGAGTGCTGATTTACCAGCAGCTTATTATGTAAGCCAAGATCTTGGCAGCAATGACTGAAGACTGTGATGACTTCTCCTCAGTCTTGAACCTTGTTCTCATAGTGAAAAGAAGTGAATTCCCCAGGAAGCTGGAAAGGCTAATTCTGTTTTCCAACTCTTAATTATCCTAGTCAAGCCTCTGTTATACATATTAGGTGAAATCTCTTCCATAATCCAGTTATGTAGTTTTATTCAAATAGTCCTTATTTATAAAGATAAATATTGATCACTTATATTTATTTTCCTTGCTTTACTGCCTCAATCTAAAGAAATCTAACCAATTTCATTGTATAGATGATGTACAATGACAATAAAGGCTACACTGTACAGTAAGCAATGATATAAGCCAGTGATGGCTAATCTTTTTGCTATTGCGTACCAGGAGTGGGAGGCTGTGGGGGCATGTGTGCATGTGCCCATACCCATAATTTCCCCCACACACACATGCACGTGGCCCCCCACTTCCCCCCCCCCCCGCTCCTGGCACGTGATGGCCCAGTAGGCCCATTTTCCTCTCTTACCTGGCTCCAGAACCTCTCTAGGAGTCTGGGGAGGGGGAAAATGCCCCCCCCGGAGGCTCTCTGGAAGCCAGAAATGGCCTATTTGCCAACTTCTTGTGGGCCCAGAAGGCCTGAAAATTAGCTAGCCGGCACGTGCATGCGCGCCAGAGCTGAGCTCGCATGCCCACTGATATGGCTATGTGTGCCACCTGTGGCACACGTGCCATAGGCTCACCATCACGGGTATAAGCATAACAACTCTGGAGGGCCTTAATTATGGTCGCTATGGCTTGTGACTCTCTAGGATTGTGTCCAATATTCAACTGACAAAATTAATGAGACTGTACAACCTCCAGGCTAGTTGTACATTAAAAATAGTTAAAGTTTTAACATCCTTTTGAATATAGCAGAAATAACATTTCAGCATAGCAGAGTGTGGCAGACTTCAGGGAATTGGACTTTATTTAACTTGGAGCCATTTGCAACTTCATGGAGTGGATGCTTATTATGAAAAAATAATTATGTAGTGCTCCCTTTTCCAATGACATCAAGCAACCACCGCTATGCAGTATCCCAACATTTAATACACACTGGAGTCCATATTGCCAGGGGAAATATTGTTCATAGTAACAGAACCCAACAGAATTCCTTCATCTCATCACCGTGGCTTTCTGGCATGGAGACAAGCAGCAGAAACGCAAGGACTGATGCAAACAATTTGCTCATTAAGCAACAGCAGTCTCACTGTAAAGTTCATAATCATTTTATACAAACTAAGGAAGTTAAAAGGGAAAAAATCAAATTCCTTACCTTAAGGCATTTCCTGTAAAGAAGGGAAATAGGTTACTCAAAAGTTCTCTGTTATTGAAAGGGCAAATTAACTGCAAGAATGGGATGAGGGGATTAATTTTTCTTTTCTTTTCAGTTTCCTTTTTCAATCATTGGGAAAACACAATCGTGTTGCTTTTGGAAGCTATTCAGTTATTAGGACTTTGTGGGTGGGTGGGTGGGTGAGCGTAGCATAAATTGTAGCAAAAGAGTTCCTCTTCAATTTTCCTAGCAATTATATTTTTTTTTTGAGGTAAAATTAGAGATCTCTTTTAGATTGCATTTCAGGAAAGTACCACTTAATGTATATTTTCATGATTGTAATACTAAATACTGAACCAAATTGCTGCTGGAAGGGAGGCAATAACTTTAAAACAGCAAGCAGCAACTCCTGAGATCTGAGCTTGTTTTTCTGCTCCTTATGTTATCAGGGCAGCTGGCCAATGCAGACAACTCAGTCAGAGAAGAACATTCAACATGCCTCAAATCATCTGTCTTCAAATTTCAGACGATATAGGATTACTAGTTTAGGGCCACTAGCAATGATAAGAAAGCTGAGTTACACTGATTGGTTCAGGCATTCAGTCTACATTTGTGCCCCAGAGAGCTGGTCTACTATGCCCAACCATTGTTAAAGTTTAAGAGTGTCACTTATCCAAAGGCTTGTGAGTTTGTTTGGGGGGGTTTTTTTGCAACAAAAAAAGGACATCAGGATTGCCAGCTAAGACTTAATGTGCATGATGTTTTATAGAGTAACATGATCAAAAACGCACTGGCTCCTGTTCTGAACACTTCACATTCTAAGTATTAAGACCATTTAAAACCAGATCCACACCACCAACAGCAATGCTTTGTCTTGGCCAGGCCAGATTTTGGCTCTGAAAAAATTGACAGCTGTGCTGTAATACAATATAAAGTATTAAATTTTAGTCTTATACACATTTAAGTTGATATAATAAGTGGACTGATTTCTGAAAACACATACATGGCCTGGCACTGTTAGTAGTCAAAAGAGGCTAAATTATTGGATTAATATTTTTTCACACTCAATTTTTATTTATATATTATATATTTTAATGGTGATTAAAAATTCAATTTTGGACAAATGTTATTTGCAATGCTTTTCAGGATTTCATTACTGGTGGTCCAATAAATGCACTTTTAAATTTAAGGCAGAAGGGTTTTTTATTCATTAAATTGATTTTTATAAGGTTGTCCATCTCTGGGCAGCTCATAACACACTAAAAACAAAAAAGGAAAACATTGAAAAAACAACAGTGTTCACCAAGAATAAACCAAACTAATCATGGGGAAGGGGTGTTCCAGAAAGCTGTAATATTCTTACTGAGATTGGCTATAATAACATCAAAATCTTCAAAGTCCGATTTTACTGTATCCCCTTCTCCTTCTTATTAGGGAATTTGGGAGACATCTGCCTGACTCGCTTCTGGATGTTATTTTGTACTTCTGGAGTTTAAAAAATGCATTATCCTTTTTACCTAGGGAATGGAACCTGCGTATCTTTATCAAAATAATCTTCCTTACTCTCTAGAGCAGGGGTGTAAAACTTGCGGCCCACAGCCAGATGCATCATGCCCATGCCCAGTTTAGCGAAGGGGGGAAAAGTCATGATACATCATGTGACTAGTCCATGACGACACGAGTTTGACATCCCTGCTCTATAGGCATGATCACCTTCTCTACAACCTTGTATTAAAAGTTATCCAAAATGGTTGCATCCAGTGACGGGTTCTTGAAGAGGGGATAAAACCATCAAATCGTTAAGCAGAAATAGAACAAACCCCTTTCTCAACAATGAATTCCCCTTTGCCAGGAACCAACCTCATGCAGTCTCTCAAGGTAACCATGATAGACATTTGTCTAGTGCACAGATGACTAAGATAATACTTCCTAGAACCTTATCCTTCAGGACGAACAGGATCAAACTCATCCCAGATAACCAGATCAGATTGAGCTTCAATCATTTCCATGAGGATCTGCGTCAGGGTCTGAGTCAAGCTTCGAGTGAATCCAAGCAACTTTATCCAATAGATGCACTGGAAATTCTTCGAAAAATGTAATATTTTTCCTGAAGAAATATCTCAGTCTCATCCCTCCCCAGGAGGAAACTGGTCACTTTGAGCAGGGCTGCTGGGTGACTTTCACTTCCGCTTCCATCATCAAGCAAGTTACCCCAATCGTTAAACGAGACATCATGTCATTGCAACTTGTGACTTTACTGCTGGCTTTTCCATTGATTCTGCTTGTTGGAAGCATACAAGTAGTGATCATGTGACTACAGGTCACTGCATGGTCATAAATGCCCACTGGTTACAAAATGCCCAAACATTGATCATGTGACCAAGAGAACAATGCAACAGCTATAAATGTTAGTATTGATTACAAAAACCTTTTTTTAAACCGTTGTAACTTCAAATTGTAAACAGAGCAATCAGTAAATGAGGGCTACAGTATTTCTAGTAATCATGATTAGTTATACTAATTTAATATGGCCCCATGAATTCATTTCAGTTGCCAGTATCTTTATATGCTAAAACAAAAAAAGCAATAATTGACTAATGTGCAATAAGATTATCTCTTTTGGAAAAGATTAACACTTCATCTTTTCTTGCAGACGAACTTAGCAAATATTAATAGAATAGTAAGACTGCCATCTCTAATGAGTCAAAATATCAACAAGTCCTTTTAATTCACAAAAACAGCTGCTACATAAGGGATCTCAAAAACTCATTTGAATTCTCAGTGTATCCAAGTCCTATTTCTCTACATTTTTTGAGAAATAACATTGAGGTTTTTTATATATCATTTTTTTAAAAAGTATCTTCCACTTGATGTTATTATTAATTTTTTCCAAAAAATGGTAATTTTTTTTTTTACATATAGTATACTTAGCATATTTCTGGAACATATAGTACTGTAAATTGTAGATTTAAAGAAGACTCAACAATAAGTAGAAGTGTGATGAACATTGCCAA